AGAGTGTTCCATCTCATTTCCCTTTGGGGTTGCTATAGGTGATCTGGAAGTCTGGTTTTGAGACTTATTTTCGTGTTTTCTCATTTCAACTGGGGGGGTGGGGGGGTGCTGTTCACCCCCGCGAGGATCACCTCCTCTGAGCTGGGAGAGGTGGGACAGGGGCCAGGAGAGTGGTAGAGATGGTGGCCTAGAAGCCCCTTCCTCTGGGCCAGGAGCAGTGGGACACTAAGTGGCCCAAAAGCCCTCTCCTCTGGACTGGGGGCAGCGCGAGGGATGGTGGCCAGGAAGCCCCTTCCTCTGGACCAGGAGCAGCAGGTCGGTGGCTCAGAATCCCCTACCTCTGGGCCGGAAGAAGTGGGAGGGATGGTGGCTCAGAAGCCCCTTCCTCTGGGCTAGGAGCAGCGGGAGGGATGGTGGCTGGAAAGCCCCTTCCTCTGGACCAGGAGCAGCAGGATGGTGGCTCAGAATCCCCTACCTCTGGGCTGGCAGCAGTGGGAGGGATGGTGGCCAGGAAGCCCCTTCCTCTGGACCAGGAGTAGTGGTGTGAGACTGAACAACAGTTACTCCATCTTTGTAATAGGGCCCCAACTTTCTGCTTCTGTTACGGATCACCAGGTTGACATCAAGTTCCAGAGATGTTTGTTGTTGTGCCAGGAAGGTCTGTTGTGGGCGTAGTGTTCTGTCTGCTTGCCAACTTCCCCTGTGGTCTGTTTTATCTCTCTCCTCTGGTTTTGTATTTCTGCTTGCCAACTTCCCCTGTGACCCCCTATGAAAACAGCTTCGGACTCTGAGCCAGTTGCCTCTCTAAGCTACTTTGCTTTGGGAGTGCCATCTGGCCAGACTAATAAAGGTCTGTTTTACTTTCCAACTTGTCTGGTGTGTTCCTTCCTGGGTGTTCTTCGCTGCAGTCAGCTCCTCGGAGCATTTGGTAAGGCCCTCGGTCTTACATTCTGGAGGCCCCAGCGAGATCCCTGGGTAGGAACCCCCAGTTCGGCCGAGACTCAGTGGCGGGATCCAGCAGGAGACTCTCAGGCACAGACCTCAGAAAAACATCCGGAGGTAAGCTTTTGGCCAGTTGTAACCGTTTGTTAAGTCAGGAGTGAGGTGGCTGACGAGCTGGGAAGTCTCCTCTGACCCCGAGGTTCCTGACGAGGAACAAGGGAAGATTTAGTTTCAGTTTGTCGTGGCGCCCGTTTGTCTTGTCTTTTGTATGTTAATGTTGTGTCTGTTGTGTGTTTGATTTTACATTTTTTTCTTTCCAATCTTCATCAGGAGCAGAGTAATGAGAGGAACCTGTTCTACCAGGTCCACTCCACTTGACTGCTTTCTCACTAATTTTAAATTGGCTTTTTCTCCAGAACAAGAAGATGAATATGGGGTGAAATTTTCTCACGGGAAACTCCGCTCCCTGTGCCAACTGGAATGGCCAGCCTTTGGGATGGGATGGCCAGCCGAAGGGACTTTTGACCCCAGTGTTTGCCGGGCGGTTTGGGGCAAGGTCATTGGTCACCCTGGCCACCCAGACCAATTTCCCTACATAGACATCTGGGTTCAGGCTTGTGAGAAACCTCTGGCTTGGCTGCAGTGCTGTTTCCTCTGAACAGACACTCGGATTTTAGTTGCTGCCCCGAAAGGGCCCTGGGAACTTAAGCCCTGGGCTCCTAAGCCAGTTCTCTTGCAGTAACCTGACCCCCTGGATCCCTTAGGAGGGCCTCCACCCTATGTGGAATCCTCCACCCCCTCAGATGGCTCCCGCTCTAGACCCTGCAATCCTTCCCTTCCTCCATCTGTTCAACCTTCGGCTCCTACTCCTCTCTATCCTCCTCTCCCAGAGGGGCCTTAGTCCCCAGACTCTGTGACTTCTCCCCCACACACATGAGCTGGGGCTGTGTATGGGCCTTGCGAGGTCCCCATTGGGGAAATTAGTTCGGCCCCTCTCTTGCCCCTTCGGGAGACAGAAAAAGGTCACTATGTTTATATCCCCTTCACTACCAGTGTCTTATATAATTGGAAACATCAAAATCCTCCCTTCTCAGAGAAGCCCCAAGCCCTAATATCTCTTCTAGAGTCTATCTTCCATACCCATGATCCTACTTGGGATGATTGCCAACAACTCCTCCAGGCCCTTTTTACCTCAGAGGAGAGGGAAAGGATCCGGGGCCAAGCTGTAAGGTCGGTACTAGGTGGAGCAGAGGGCCCCCTAGATGAACAACAGTGGGCCCGTCTGGAAGCACAGCTCCCATCCACCCGACCCCACTGGCAAACTAATACCTCTGGCGGGAGAGAAGCTCCCCAGAACTATCATCAGCATCTCCTGGCCAGCCTGAGGGGAGCCTCTTGGAAGCCTGCCAATTTGAGCAAGGTAAGTGAAGTCTTTCAAGGACCAGAGGAATCCCCTTCTGCCTTTTTGGAGGGTCTGTTGGAAGCATACCGTACATATACTCCAATTGATCCAGACGCCCCTGCAAATCAGCAGGCAATAAATTTGGCATTTGTTACCCAGTTGGCCCCAGACATTACAAAGAAGCTGCAAAGACTAGAAGGATTTGAGGGAGAGAATAGAGAAAAGTTGATGAGTGTAGCCATGAAGGCATTTAACAATAGAGATCCCCTGGAAGAGAGGATGGCCAAGAGGCTGGGAAAAGCGACCATAGCTGTCTTGGCCAATGGAGGATTTGTCCAGAAAGAAAGACTCGAAAATAAGGGATGGAGCAAGGGAAGGATTCGACCCCTATTAGAGAAAGATCAATGTGCCTATTGTAAGGAAAAGGGCCATTTTAAGAAGGACTGTGAAAAGCTAAAAAGAAAAAGAAAAAAAGGAAACCCAAGAGGAAAAAGGTGGAATCCTCTTAGTAGA